AGCCACTATAGATATTGTTCAACCACCGCCCATAATAGATGCTCAGCCAATAAAGAGTAAACTTTCCAGTACTTCCAAGCATATCAATTAAAACTAATCACATAAACTAAAAAGAAAAAGAGATGACAATAAACCCTCTAAAAGACTGGAGAAACCCAACTCATACACATGATGTTATTTATGTTGATAAATTAAAATTTGTACCTTGACTTGCACAGCTTACAATGGAATATCTCGAGAAGGATTTCTTAGCTAATGAGCAACAAACATTTATGGATAATTGTTTTAGGAAGTTTGATAAAAACTAAGTTTATTCATTTGCGTTTGACATGTTCTTTAAATGTTCTTTATATTCACTTTACATGCATTTTTATTGTGCTTTACTAGCACTTCTGTTGCACTTTTAATACGCTTTACGAGCGCTTTTTATGCGCTTTACATATACTTTTATTGAACTTTACTTGCACTTCTATTGCGTTTTATATGCCCTTTACATGCCCTTTATATGTACTTTTATTGCGCTTTACGTGCGTTTTACTTACGCTTTTGATGCGCTTTAATTTTTTTCTTTATTTTTATAGAGACAACCTTATATTTATATCTGGTAACATAGTAATAAATAGAGCTAATATTATTGATCTGCTAACAAATCAATATTTAGGAGATAACCATGTAGATACATTTGTTGTTTTGTTATCTGAGAAGAGTAGGATTATGATAGAGAAATTTTAACGCTACTTTTACATCTCTCAATTATACAAGGTTAGTAGAAATCTTATTTCTAATCTATTAATCACATTAGTTTTCCTAGATAGTTGACTTATTTTAGGTATATAAGGATTATAATCAACCTTTTCATATGTTCATCCAACACATTTATTCTAATTCAGTTAAGAAAAGTAATCTTATGTTCAACACCTAATCTTCAGTAAGCATTGGATCCTTTTTATAAGCAGGTTGAAAAAGAGAGTCTGGAAATTACATAATTCCTTACCCAATCCATAACACAAGAATATATGTTATAAAGTTATACGTTAAAGTCAGATTGTATGCAACTTATTTTATCAATATAAACATAAAAGAAAATACTAGTTTAATTTTTTATATAAAATCCTTGCATGAAAAAACCTAAGGAGCCTTTACAAGCGATATAACAAAATAGAATTTACAAATTATCCGTGGAAATCCAACTCAGTCAAATGAAGTTGTCTGTGGAATGTTTGTATGCAAATACATGGAGAAAGTCATTCTACGAAGGAAAGTGGACTAGAGCTCTTATAAAGATTGGTAAAAATGTATGTTAAAATTTAGGGCAGAATTTGGATATTATATTTTTCTTATAACAAAGAAGTAAAATACTAAATTATGTTCATTTTTGTAATGTCAAGTCAATTGTAAATTATGTACATTTGAGTTTTTTATGTTAATTATATATTTTGTGTTGTTTAATGTTAAGTTTATTTATAAATTATGATAATTTGTACATCAACATAAGTGTAAATATATCGTAATAAAAAGCACAACTAAAGTACAACCAAAGAGTAACTAAAGCACATATATAACAAAATTATAATGCAACAAAAGTGTTGATATAACACAATAATAACGCAACTAAAGCGCAGATATAATGCACATATAGTGTAACTAAAGCACAATAAAAGCACAACTAAAGCGTAAATATATTGCAAATATTACACAGCTAAAGCACAATTAAAGCGTATATATAGCACAACTAAAATGCAATAATTATTATAATGAAAATTCGTAAGTTCACAATTAACACTTATTATAATAAAAATTCATAAGTTCACAATCAATACTTATTACAATAAAAAATTATAATTAACAATCAATACTTATGATAATGAATATTGCATAAGTTCACAATCAATACCTATTACAATGAAAATTTATTAAATTTTAACTCCAAAGTAATAAAATCCATAATCAATATGGTGTACTTAGCACCCGGTTGGCTTGTTGCTTGACCAGTTATATATTCATCACTGCAGCATTTAGGCATGCTTGAGAAATTCATCTATGTTGGAAAAGGATTATCCATTGTCATATATACATCATCGATATCAACCATCACTTTTATTTTTTTTCCCACCAAAGGTTTCTCTGTTAAAAGCTACAAGTTTAGTCTTAAGTAAGGAATCATATAATTATCAAAATATTAAAACTTACTCTTAGGTCGCTTCTTCTTTTTCCAGTGACTTTTTAGTCTTGCATTATATATGCCTTTAGGCCTTCGCTTTGCAGAAACTTTCAAATTTGTATGCCACCCTGGGATCTTGAAACATACTTTTTGTTTTTTTCTTGCCATGAAGAATTAAACCTATATTTTCAACAATATCTTTCATTACGGCAAGCATATACTGCTCAAACTCTTTATTCCCTTGCACTTATGTGCTAATTTGATATGCAAATCTGCTCACTTGATTTCTGAATATGAATCTCTTACCACCTTCAAAGTTATTATTTCTCGTACCATTGCCCAAATAATCTGAAAAAATATATTTTTGAGCCCTTGCTGGCCATCGCAACAGTAGGTACTTCTTAGAGATTTTAGCAATATCCAATTGTCTCAAAACCCTCATACAATGAGAACACAATAATCTCATGGTATCATATTTCATACAGTTGCATTGAATACTCCCTTCTGTTGCATCAAAATCAACAACCCAAGGATGATGTTGGTCTTTATTCTTTGTGTAGTTGATTAGAAACTTTGAAGAATCAGTCGAGACAAAGTCTATACTCATTCCTCCCACACCCTATAAAATTTCCTCCTCAAAAAATGAATATAGTTTTCTTGAGTAAAATCGAGCAGTTTGCTTTAATATTGAGCTACTCTTTATCACAGGAAATATTTCAAACTAATTTTATTTGTACTCCTCATCCTCCTCATTTCGATGCCAATTCATTAGTACCTTTTTTAACCTAAGAAAATAATCAATTAATAAACTTGTTGGCATTGAAATACCATGACACACATTATTAGTACACTCGCTACGCTGTGTGGATAAAAGGCCCATGCTAAAATAATCCTTATTGAAAGTTGTGGACCACTTTCTCCTTATCTTATAAAGATCATCCAACCATTCATGATTATGAAGGTTCCCTTCATTGATCATTTCAACCCATGTCTCCTCAAGCACTTTCTCATAATCACACTTGCTCAAACACTTATAGAAGAGTCCTCTGACTTTATTGTTGTTATTGAAGCTTTTGATGGAACCTTTTTAGAGATGTGCCATTGGCATAGTCTATGACAAGTGTGAGGTAATGCAACTTCTATGGCCCTAGCAATAACATAGTCCTGATCAGTGAATATTATCGTTGGATATTTATTATCCATTATTTATATAAATGTTTTAAACAATCATGTAAGACTTTCAATTATTTCATCTAACAAAAAAGCAACCCCTAACAAAATATTCTGTCAATGATTGTTAACACCAACAAAGAGTGCACTTACAAAATTATACTTGTTGAGCCTATAGCTAGTATCAAAAATCAACACATCTCCAAAACAATCAAAATCTATCATGCATATCCCATCAACCCAGTAAAAATTTAACAATCTATCATACTCATCAATTTGAATATCCCATGCAAGCATCTGATCCTCTACTTGTCGATCTTCAAATAATTGAATCAAAGAATTAATGTCACCAAATTAAATCTTTGTTCTTTCATCATTCTAAATAAAGTTATAAGAATCCCTCTTATAAAATCTAACAATCTTGTATCCTCCAACTTCTTCTGCAAGGTATGTGTATGCATCAACGATTCTAATTCATACATTTGTCATTGATTTTAGGACAGAAATTTTTTCATCAACAATATTCTACATGATCTCAGAAGGTGTCGGTCTGCTAGCATAGCCAATTCATGGTTATGGAATTCAATAAATCTTTTAACATGCTAGTAATCACCTTCATCAACTACAAACCTCATAATATATGGACAATCAGTTCTAACTTCTGGTTTAGTAAATTTCTTTTTTGAATTCAAATCAATTCTCTTCTTGAAACCAGCTTTTGAACAGACAAAGTCCTTGGATTTTATGTTTATAGAATTTGGTCAATAATTATGATGATCCTTCCGGACGCCAATGTCATTATTATGGACATATGTACAATAACATTCATATGCTTCTTTCTCATCTTTATACACAGTCAAATAAGAAGCAAAGATTACAAGAGTGCAATAAATGCATAACCAAAGCGCAACAAAAACGCAACCAAAGCGTAACAAAAGCACAACTAAAGTGCAACTAAAATGCTTAAGCTTTACCAACCCTAAAAATAATGATGATCGTCATTGTAAGTTAATTAAAACATTAATGATAGCTGAACAACATCACAAAATAGCAAAGCAAGATATGAGAAGAGCTTATTTGTTTTTTCTACGCACTTCTAAGAGCCTCTTCTAAGTGAAAACCTTCTGAGCATTGATGCCCTTTTTTCTACACAGCTTTGTTTTACAACTTTCAAAAAGTATACTCTTAATACAACTTGAGATAAGATTGAAACTTATCGATATGTTGAAACATGCGGAAGTTTCAGCTAAGTTAACTTCCGGTTCATGCATCCCTTCACCCTCTCTTTGGAGAGCATTCGATCACTTTTTTGCAATTTTCTAGCTCGTTTTTTCTTTCTGAGCAGTAGATATCAAAATCAATAAATATTTAGATTTTGAGATCTTTGGTGGGTTTCTAAAAATAACATCAACCCTGCATTTAGAATGTAAAAAGTAGTGGACCAGGTCGAGTCAAGTCGAGCAGATATAAATTAAATTAAAAGATTTATTAAGCAAATTCACGTGGAAGATCCACTTGTCAAATTTTTATTGAAGTCCGGACATTGAGCTGTCTTGTCTCCGCACCTAATAATTTTCCTCCCAATGGAGCTTGCACAGTTAAGTCAAACTAGAGTTCTTATTTCTTTTTTTAAAAAAAGCTTGAGCCGAACCTCAAGAAATCAGCATGACTCGACCTCCAGCTAAGCCTAAATGATTAGGTCGATTTAGCAAAAACTCCACTAGTTTCGACTGTTTCGTCGGGTGGCCAAGCCATTCAGCCCGAATTGATGGCTGCTTCTCCCTGTCCTTCTGCCAGCATCTCAGGCTCACTGCTTTGCTCCGCTTCCTCTTCCTCTTCTTTTCGCCATGCCTTGCTCTCCCTTGTTTCGGGAGATTTCTGCGGCGGACCCCGGCAGCGGGTTCTGAATTCCAAGTCATCATCTTGCGCTGGAAGACGCCGGCGCGAGGGTTCTGTCCGGCGGGCGGCTCTCAATACGTCCACTTCCATTGATCCACAGCCCTCCTTTGCGAACCCGGAGCCCGATATCGCCTCTCTCAAGCTCAAACTACTTGTTAGTATTTTATTTCCCTCTGCTTAGTAGTTCTGCAATCGTTCTTTTGGAACTTTGAATTGTTTACCTGAAAATTTGCCTTCCGAACGCTTCATTTGAAAGGGAGATGAAGCGATTGGAACAAATTAATTTTGTGGAAACTTGTTTATTTTGTTTGATGTACTTGAAACACTAGAATTTTAAGGGCTATTTGGCGACAAGCAACAAGCAGGAGACATTAAATCTTGTAAATCCAGATTTATCAAATCATGGAGACATTAAATCCTGAAATCATTTAATTTGATAGATGTTTAGGGGATGTTTGGTTGCTTAAAAAAGAAATGCAGGGTAATGTAAATGCAGTGTACTTATAATACTTTGGGGTCGTTTGGTTATATGCAAAGTAAATGCAAGAGAACTGTTTTTCTTGTTTGGTGAGATGCTGAGTAAAATTAAAGCTGTGTATTTTGAAAATTTTGCTATAAAATTGACAAAATATATGAATTTGAAGACAAATATACATAAAATAAAAATTGTTATGAAATTGCAAAAAAAAAAGAATTTAAAGACAAATATACAAAAAAAAATAAAATTTACTATAAAATTGAAAAAAATTATATAATCGTGTAGAAATAGCTAATAATGTAGATCATTTAAACTTATAAACCTAAGAGGTTGTTTGGTAGCAAGCTTTGAGGAAAATTTGAGGTAAATCCATCCAAATGCAAAAAAATGGACGTTTAAATCTCACGGAAAATTAAATCCTTTTTTTCCATACTATGGTTCAGCGTATTTATGGGATTTGGTTTAAGAAGCTCGCTAAGGGGGCAGAAAGATGGTTACCTTCGATCCAATAGTAAAAGCATATTTTATATCACGTGCTCGGTGTATCACATGCAATACAATTAATCTATATCACTTGTTCGGTAAATCATATGTTATCAATGTATCACTTGTATCAGTCAGTATTCAGTGTATCACGTGCTATAAGATCAGTACAATGAATCAGTAGTATCGGTGAATCAGTAGTTGAATCGGTAAACAATATATAATATCAATGAAATCATGCAGTAACAGTAAGCTCATAAATCCATCAGTAAATCCATTCAGTATCAATGAATAAATTATTAAATTCTATTAATAAATCCATCGATATCAGTAAATTCATACATAAATCAATAAATCCGTTTAATACGATAAATCGATTCAATATCGGTAAATCCATAAAGTAATCATAAGAATAGTACTTTACACATGCATTCCAGTACATTTATTGACCGGAATTGATTTATTTATTTAATGATCTGATTGATTTTATTGATATGATTGATTGATGTTATTAATACGATATTGATTTGACGGATTTATTGATACTGACACATTTACTGAGGATTTATCGTTACTGTACAGATTTATCATTACTATATGGATTTATAGCATTATCGTTTATGTCACTGGATTATTACTGATATTGATACATACGCTGCTACTACTGATTCACTATACTGACATCATGCATGTGATATACTGAGCGAGTGACATGTGATTCACTGAACACGTGATATAGATTATTGGATTGCATGTGATTCACTGAGTATGTGATATTGAATAACTGGAATTGCCAGTGTACGTTTTGATACGGTTTTACTGCATTTTTTTATTTCAACAGTCACGAACGATAGTATTGATTTGATGTTTTATGCTGACTGATATTATTGAATCGATGATCTCTCTTTATACGACTGATATTATTGACATTATAATTTATTGACTGATATTATTGATACAACAATTACCGTAGAGATTTGACGCACGTACTGATTCATTGAGCTTTACAGTACTGATTCATTGAGCTTTACGGACTTTTATACTGTTTACTGATTCTTCTACTGTCGATTGAGGATTTTACTTTTTATGTAGTGATACTATTTACACATTGACTATCATTTATGTACTGATTATGATTTATACATTGATTTCTATTTCTGCATTGACTCAATGATCATGTGCAAGTGACTGATATTGATTTAACGGATTGACATGCATATTGCTTTTGTACCATGCTTTGATTTCAGTTGTAGGTATTTGGTGACCTACTGGACTTTTTAAGCTCATTATATGTAGTTAATGATTTCAGGTCAGGGCAAGGGAGCAGGAGAGTGAGGTTGATCAAGATTGTCAGGTTTTTGTTCTTTTGTGATAGTTATTCTTTTGTACTTAGGGCTGGATGGAATCGTGATCATTGTTGAAGATCCTGAATATTGTAAATGAACTTTTGGGAATGAATTAAAATATTTACATGATATTTTAATTATAGATTTTTGTTATATTATTTAATACTGATTGATGCTATAGATAGCTCTGATAATTGATGGTTTAATGGATTAAAAGAATAATTCTTCCAAGTTAAATCCTTGGAGCGTGACAGTCTTTTCTAAAATTTTAAAATGGCTAATAATCTAGGGGATTGGCAAAATTTAATGCAACAATTGAATCATTTATAATAACAAATCAACACTATGGCTGAAGCAATTGAAAATCTGAATGTTAATAATGTTAATCCTAATGTGCAAAATTCTGAAAGTGAAGAGGAGGTTCCTAGAAATCAACCCAGGCAACAAAGAAATTGGGATCATGGAATAAATATTGATGTTCCTAATTTTGAGGGGAAACTTCAACCCGATCAATTCCTTGAGTGGGTAGAAAAGATGGATCAGTTTTTTGAGTGGAAAGAAATACCGGATAATAGGAAGGTTCGCTTTGCTAGCCTAAAACTTTATGGTCATGCCTTAACTTGGTGGAAAAACTTTCAAAATAATAGACTTAGGAGAGGAAAAGAAAACGTCCAAAACTGGAAAAGAATGAAGGAAAAAATGAAATGGAAATTCTTACCAACTAATCATGCTCGAATAATATTTCAAGAATTTAATAACTTGCGACAAGGAAATCAGTCTGTTGAAGGGTACACCAAAATGTTCTATAAATTTCAATCTATAAATGATTTAAATGAATCTGAAAAGAAAACTGTTTCAAGATACATCAATGACTTAAAGTGGTCGATCCAAGATCAACTTAACTTGCATGATATCATTAAAATTGACGAGGCTTATCGTATGGCGCTAAAATTGAAAAAGCAACATCAAAGGGAAAATGGTCACAATAAAGTAATGGAAACATATAAATGACGACCAACTGGCGTGATTAAAACCTAATCTCAAACTTTTTGGGGAACATCTGGTGTGAAAGCTAAAAATTTTTAAAATCAAAATGCAGATAAAGGAAAGGGAATTATAGGTATTAAAACTACTGATCAACCTAGATTAATTGGACCATGCTATAAATGTGGGCTTTATAGTCTTCTCTTTGCCACTTGTAAAAAAACAATCCATCAAAAAATAATCTCATAGAAAATGATGAAAACTTGAAGGAAAAAGAAGAAGTAAATGAATCTGGATCTGAAAATGATATTGAATTAGAAAAGGTTGATATTGAAGGAGATGAAGGTAAAGAGTTTTTGGTAATTCGACAAGTCTTAACAACTAAAATTGACAAAGGGGATAGGTGGCTCAGAAGAAACATATTCAAAACAACTTGCACAATCGAAGGGAAAATCTACACTCTTATTATAGATAGTCGGAGTTCTGAAAATTTTATTTCTCAAAAACTAGTTGACAAGCTTAAAATAAAGTCAACACCACTTGCTAAATCCTATAAAATCTCTTGGTTCAAAGAAGGGGGAGATGTTCCAATCACTAAGCAATGTACTGTCAATCTATCAATTGGGGGATCTTTCAAAGATCAAGTTGTTTGTGATGTTGTGCTTGTTGAAGTGTGTCATATTTTATTAGGACGACCTTGGCAATGTGACCACAAAACTATTCACAATAGAGAGAAAGATACTTACACTTTGATCCAAAATAATAAAGAGTTCACTTTATATCCACAAAAACATGTGACTGATTTACCTATTAAGAATAACACGGTTGCCAAAAAATTTTTTAGAATTGATTTGAGAAGTGGGTATCATTAAATCAGAATAAGGCCTGGGGATGAATGAAAAACTACTTTTAAAACTAAAGAAGGTTTGTATGAATGGCTTGTGATGCCTTTTGGGCTTTCAAATGCTCCAAGTACTTTTATGAGAACTATGAATCTTGTTTTGAAACCTTTTATTGGAAAGTTTGTTGTGGTTTATTTCGATGACATTTTGATTTGTAGCATTCATCCTTCTGAACACTTAAATTCTAAGAGAAAAAAAGCTTTTCATCAATCTTAAAAAGTGTTCCTTCATGACTTTGAGCTTGACATTTTTTGGTTTTATTGTTTCTGCTGAGGAAATAAAAGTGGATCCAATAAAAATAGAAGCAATTCAAAATTGGCCCATTCCTAAAAACATAAGTGAGGTGAAACGATTTCATGGCTTGGCTTCTTTCTATAGAAGATTTATAAAGAACTTCAGTTCTCTGATTGCTCTTATTACTGATTGCTTGAAAAAAAGGGTATTTAGGTGGACACCTCAAGCTGAAAAAACTTTTGAAATCGTTAAGGCAAAAATGAGTCAAGCTCCTATTCTTAGCTTGCCAAATTTTGAAAATATTTTTGAAGTTGATTGTGATGCTTCTCATGTTGGTATTGGTGCTGTGCTTAGTCAAGAGGAAAAACATGTTACTTACTTTAGTGAAAAACTGAATGAAACTAGATCCAAATATTTTATTTATGATTTGGAGTTTTATACTATTGTTCAAGCTTTGAAATTCTTGAGATGTTATTTGATTTAAAGGGAGTTTGTTTTAAATACTGATCATGAAGCACTTCGTTTTTTGGGCTCTAAAAAAAATTGAATAAAAGGCATGCCAAGTGGGTTTCATTTTTGCAAGAGTATGCTTTTCATATTAAACATAAAATTGGTGTTTTAAATAAAGTTGTTGATGCTTTAAGCAGGGGATCTCATTTATTGGTAACTGTTTATCCAACTATCACTTCTTTTGATTTTTTGAAAGATACTTATGCAAGTGATTCAGATTTTAAGGGTATTTGGGATTCTTGTCTTGCTTCTGGAACTGATCCTTCCGCTCAGTTTATTATACATCAAGGTTTTTTGTTTAAGGGGTCTAGAATTTGCATAACTAAAAACTCTTTAAGAGAACAACTTGTGAAAGAACTTCATAGTGGGTGTTTGGGTGGATATTTTGGGCAAGGAAAAACTATTGCTTTTGTTGAAGAAAAATATTTTTGGCCTCATATGAAAAAGCAAATTGCTAAGCTGGTTAAACAATGTAAAATATATCAGGCTTTCAAGGGAACTTCACAAAATTTTGGTTTGTATACTCCTCTGCCTATTCCAAACAAACCTTGTGAGGATATTTCTATGGATTTCGTTTTGGGTTTGCCTGTTACTATTCAAAAATTTGACTCTGTTTTTGTGGTAGTGGATCACTTTAGCAAAATGACACATTTTATTCCTTGCAAGAAAACTTCTGAGGCTTCTTACATTGTTGATCTGTTTTTTAAAGAATTTGTAAATCTTCACGGTGTTCCTCGTACTTTTACTTCTGATCGAGACACTAGATTTTTGAGTCATTTTTTGAGAACTATTTGGGCAAAACTTGAGACTACTCTTCAATTTAGTAGTGCATATCATCCTCAAACTGATTGGCAAACTGAAGTTGTCAATCGAAGCTTAGAAAATTTATTAAGGTGTCTTATTGGAGAAAAACCATCCCAATGGGATTTAGTCTTGCCTCAAACTGAGTTTGCTTACAATAATTCTTTTAATTGTTCCACTGGTAAAACTCCTTTTGAAATTATTTATAAACAACCTATTCCTTGCATTTTAGATAAAAACTGCTTTCCTTTACCTAACAAAACTAGTGCTGAAGCTTTTGAAACTTTTGACCACATAAAGACCGTCCAACAGCAAGTCCTTGAAAAACTCCAAAAGGTTAATGCTAAGTACAAATCTACTGCTGATAAACATCGAAAAGAGGTTATTTTCAATGAGGGTGACTTGGTTATGGCTTACTTTCGTTGCCAACGATTTCATGTTGGTACTTTTAGAAAGTTAAGTAGAAAGAGATTTGGACATTTTCGTTTGCTTCAAAAATTAGACACAAATGTCTATCTGTTGGATCTACCTATTTCTATTGGCACTTCTCCTGTATTTAATGTTTCTGACCTTTCTTTATATGAAGGAAATTCTGACGATTCTATAGAAATTGAAATTTTGCCACTCTCCATTTCTATGGCAAAATTTGAAGAACAAGTTGAAGATATTATTGATGTCAGAATTTCTAAAACAAGGCATGGTAAGCATAAGAGGTTATTGGCAAAATGGAAGAATCGACCTTTAACCGACTGCACTTGGATGGATGCTAATGAGCTAAAACGGCGTCATCCTGATCTTTTTCAGAAAGTTACTGAAGCTTTCTCATCTGGAGATGAAACTCTCCCACCAAGGGGGAATTAATGCATTCATAATTTCTATATTTTCATTTTTAAAAAAAATGAACATTAGTATTTTATTTAGTTTTATATTTTTTTAGCTATCCAATGATCATGGTAGGTTGTGCTTGGGCTTTGGTAGACCTTTGGTTTGCTAGCTTGATTGGTCCTTTGGGCTGCTGTTGGTTCTCGGGTTGGCTTATGGTTCTCGGTTTGAGCTGAAGATGATGATGGGAGGTGGTGGTTTATTGGAGTTGAGCTTTATTTTCTAAGTTGCTAGCTCATTAATGTTGAGCTGAAGTTTAGTTTAATTATTGGGAGATTTATTGAACTTCCTAGCTCATTATTCCAAAAAGGTATGCTTTAATTCATGGATTCAATTTGGAGTGGACTTGCCTCTTCTCCTCCCCTTTGTCTTCTCATTTTCCTGTGCTGGGTGATTTCTCGTGCCTTTGCCCATTTGGTTCCCGTGGTTGGTTGCTTGGTTCCGTGGTTTGCTGCTTGATTCCGCGGCTGTCTGCTCGGTTTTGCGGCTGTCTGCTTGGTTCCGTGAATTTCCTGCTTGGTTCCTGTATTTCTCTTCTCTGTTTTGCTGTGCCGTTTGGGGACTGATATAGTGGCTGTTGGCCTTTCATTTCCCTAAATCTAATTGGCTTATTTGGAGGTGCTATGGTTGTTTAGTTTCCCTCTCTTGCCTACATATAGTAGATGATTTTTGAAGGAAAAGGTTGTTGAATTTGGTTGAGCTTATTCTCTTAAAAAACCTGAGTGTTTTCTTCTTTTTGGAAAAGCTTGAGAGCTTTGTCCACTTCTTCTCCTCTATTTTGTCTGGGCTTCTTACCTCTTTCTTCTCTACGCAAGTTTCACTCCATTTGTATCCTTCTTCTTGGCTTTGAAGGTGTTTGTTGGCTGATTTGGGAGCATTTGTTGGAGGAGTTTGGTTGGACGTTTGGACTATCTTGCTGTGGTGGACCATCAGTTTGCTAGCCCTAAGCACACACTTTACTTAACCTACATTTCGATGCATGTGAGGAAACCGTTCTGTCGGTTGTTCTGAGGATAGCGTCTTTTTATATTTCTTTTGTTTCTTTTGATCTCTCTTCTCGTTTTATCCATCGGTTTTTGATGTCATAGATGATTGCTACTATTTGAATCGAGTTTGGTTATAGTTTTGCCCATCGTTCTCCTTATCTGGCTTTTCAATCTAGTTTGTCTGCATCAAAGATACAATTGCCAAACGATCTTCAGTTGAGTGGTGGATTCAATTTGATGATAGAACTCCAGAATTGCAGCGTTTTGTTGTGAAAGTTTTGGGCTTGACATGCTCTTCATCTAGCTGTGAAAGAAATTGAAGTACCTACAACCAAGTACATACAAAGAGGAGAAATCGCTTGTCGACATTGAGGATGAATTCACTGGTTTACATTATGTACAATAGGAGACTTAGATATAGGAATTTGAAAAAAAAAAGGATTAATGGATGATGAAGATCCTTTGCTTTGCGAGGATGCGGCATCTGATGATGAGTGGTTTGTAGATGATGAAGTTGAAGTGATGCCGTCTGAATTACAAGATGAAGATTTAAATGTTGATTTCTTTAATGGTCTTAAAGCATCTACATCCACCACAACTCAAGAACAAATCAAAAAGGTATATAAATAATATAGTTTTCTTTTCTTAGACTTTTATTAATGTATTATACTATTATTCATTATGATATTGTTCAAAAATATTTAGGGAAGAGGAAGATAACTGATAATGAGGAAGGAGTTGATTGGGAGACATTGAACTCTATAGGAGAGGTGGAAGAGGAGAGAGCAGTTCATCATAATGATTATTCAAATGAAGACCCCCTTAGTGATGACTGATGAGTGATGACAGTGCTGATGACTAGTGAGTTCTTATGTGATATGTCATTATTATTTATCCTCAAAGATGTGGTAAGTAGCATTTTTATGTTTTATATATTATTTACTCATTATTATATATATATAATTTATCATTTTATGTTTATGCAATTTTTTGATTTTGAGGCTTACACCTCAAAACGCCTTAAGGCTTACGCCTCGCCTCACGAACAAAAAACGCTTCAATACCCGATTACGTAATTTTAAACCTTGATTTTGATCCAAGCTTAAGCTGAGCTAAAAAATTGATTAATTTTTTTTTAGCAATCTTTGATCTTTGAGTTGAATTCACAATCCTACTTTGAATTCTTTCTGCCACTTTGGTGCCTCAAGAGGGTGTCTTTGATTCTTTAAAATGAAAGGTCTGGCAACGAAGTTCGTAGTGTCTATAGCAATATAATCAACACGGTTGACAACAAGCATCTTGAGTTTGGGGCCTCGCAAAACTTGTAATGTCCTATTAAAAGTTTTCTGAGAAGTCGTGACCGTGATATATTTTTCTATTTTTAACTTACCAAACTGAAAATTCGTGAAACAAAAATAAAAAATATCCCGCAAGCAAAAACATGATGGAATGGCTTTCTTTGAATAAGCATTCTGTAGTACATGCTCTTATATATGCGACATTGATTAACGTTGCCTCTATAACCAAAGTGTTTTACTGTTTTGCGAGTCATGTCTGCAATAATATAAGAATGTTTTAATATGTGCATACTTTTTATTATAGCAGATTATTTTCTTCTTTCAAAAATTATAAGGTGATGGGATGCAGGGTGCCGTTTCTGGGCTGAACAGAGGCCTTGCAGCCAGTGTGGAAGATCTTAGATTAGCCGATTCTGCAGCAAAAGAGCTTGCGGCTGCAGGTAGGCCTGTTTTCCTTTCTGAAGACCTGGATAAGCTCCAAGGGAAGTGGAGGTTGATCTACAGCAGTGCTTTCTCCTCTCGCTCACTTGGTGGAAGTCGCCCTGGCCCTCCTACAGGAAGGCTTATCCCAATTACGCTTGGGCAGGTTTGTCCCATGTTTACTGCTTTTAATCCTGCTCAATTTTTAGGGTTTAGGGATATGATTATTGAGATTGGTTCTATTGAAATTTTGTAATTAGGTGTTCCAGCGGATAGATATTCTCAGTAAAGATTTTGATAATATTGTAGAACTTCAGTTTGGTACTCCTTGGCCGTTTCCTCAAATTGAAGCCACAGCTACATTGGCTCACAAATTTGAGCTTATAGGTCAGTTAGCATATGCCACTCCCACTAATTCCTATGGATTTTTTCAATGATGAGAAAGTAAACTACAAGATCTACATTTTTTTTTTATCAGGAACTGCAAACATAAAGATAACATTCGAGAAAACAACTGTGAAACCATCAGGGAATTTATCTCAGTTTCCGCCTCTTGAACTTCCCCGTCTTCCAGATGCGCTCAGGCCTCCTTCAAACACAGGCAGTGGCGAGTTTGAAGTGATATACCTGGATTCTGACTTGAGGATTACTAGAGGAGATAGAGGAGAGCTTAGGGTGTTTGTTATCACATAATGTTATGTAAACAAGGAGTGATATTAAACTATCAAATTCAGACAGCCTGTGCCCCTCATAACTATGCAATTAATTATGAGGGGATTCTCCTCACACTCACAGGTGTGTGAATTCAAACTATTTGAATTTGAATTCAGATGAAATCAAATGCTGGATTCATTTAAAAGCATTCTGTAATGTAGAAATTGTTTGAAATCATTGTTTTAGTGGTAAAGATTTTTTCCTATATTTGGAAGAATGCATGCCCGAAGATCTGAACAGACAACGCATGTCATCTATATGCTCATACAGTTATTACATGCCTCACTATTTCTCACCATTTTTAGGAGATATATTCTGCAGCAAACCAGCTGTCATCTTTTATCATAACCAGGATGTCCTAGTCAAAATTAACCCAAGTTTTTGTTTCAGGTCAATTGCTATTTCATTAAGTGCTTTAGTGGGAGTTGTATTCCCCAGTTCAAGGAGGAATGTTGCACATAGAGGACTGAGAACCAAGTCTATGGAGTCAAGTGAGAGCATGATGAAAAGAAGGCGCACTCTGCTTGAGTAAATTGGCGGTTTTTTGAAAGGTTCAATTGAGTTGAGTTGAGTTGAGCTCGAGCCCCATTGAGCTTGGCTTGCCTAATACATAGTTGGCTCAAACTCGGCTCATTAATAGGCTCAATAGCTTGTACTCTCTAATTGCCTATTTTTTTTTAATTCAACTCCTCAATACCAATTGTGAAAATTCTGAAATGGAATACAAGAACATAGAAGAGAAATCTAAAATATGTATTAAAGCTTGTAGTAGATATAGACCCAATAACTCTTCATATTTCCAATTGAGTTAATACATGTATATATAAGTGAGAAACAATAGTTTTGGATAAGTGGAGATGCAACCATCTGGTATACATCTTATGGTGGATGTGGAGTCGGTTACAAGCAACTGCATGGATCCGGTAGTGGGCTTCATGTTGCTGATAACTTCCATAGGCAGTTTGCTGAAGTGGTTACGTGGCTGAGTTGATTGAGGTTGGTAGGAATGTGATGTTCTACATGGGTGTGCTGCTCGGTAGTGGGCGTTGATGATTTTATGCCACCCAAAAAACTAACAGTGAGTTTTGAACAGTTAGTTTGGTAGAAGGTATCTCTGTGTTGGTAGATATTTGATAAAAATGTCTGCAGCCTGATCAATTGTACTGATGGGTACTACCTGAATTTATTTGAAGGAATGTGATAATTAATAAAATGAAAATCAACATCTATGTGTTTAGTTCAAACATGAAATACTGGATTGTTTGCCAGTGCAATTGTGGATGTATTATCACAATGAATATTTGTGGGTTGTTTCAGTGGAATCTTAAAATCAGTGAGAAGACAGCACATCCATATGATATCTGTCGTAGCTGCTGCCAATAATCGATACTCTTCCTTTGTGGAGCGGGCTACAATTTGTTGCTTTTTCACTGTCCAAGAGATCAGAGTGTCACCCAAGAAGACAATATTATGAAGTGGAGCGTCTAGTGTCAAGGTCTGTGGCCCAGTTAGCATCGGAGAAAGTCGTTAATTGAAGAGAGGAGGGTTATATGGGTAAGTCGAAGAGTAAAGTGTCTTTGATGTAGCAAAGTAGTCGTTTGAGTATATGAAAATGGGATGGTGAAGGAGAATGCTTGTGTTGGCATAAGGTGTTAACAGCAAAGGAGATGTCATGATGAGTGATAGTGAGGTATTTGAGAGAGCATGTAAGGTGATGGTAGGTAGTATAGTTAGAGAGAATAAGGTCTGGTGGAGAATCCGAAGGTGGTTTAGTAGTAGATGGATTTGCTAGTGGATTGCATTTTTCCAGGACAACTTTTTGTAGTATGTTAAGAGCATAAGAGGATTGACAGAGATGAAGTTGGTTGTTGTGAGAAAAGATTTGAATGCCGAAGAAGGTTATAGGATGGCCTAGATTTTTAATATAGAAATGAGTACTAAGGGATGAGATTATTTTGAGAAGAAGAGGGTCATTACCGGTTAGAAGAATGTCATCTACACAAATGAGAATAAAGGTTTGATTTGAGTTTGGTGGAGTGTAAATAGAGAGGTATCAGCCAGGCTGTTTTGAAAGTCGGGGGAAATGAGATGATCTGAAAAAGTTTGTAAACATTCACGCATAGCTTGTTTCAATCCATAAAGAGATTTCTGAAGTAGACAGACATGATTGGGATGGTTGTGGTCTTCAAATCCACGGGGTTGACGCATATGAATGGTCTCATGGAGAGAGCCATGAAGTAAGACATTTGTGACAACGAGTTGGTGGAGGGGCCATTTGTAGATAATGGCAATTGTAAGGACTCTAATGGATGAAAATTTTGTTATTGGATTGAAGGTTTCATAATAGTTGAGGCCATATTCTTGGTGGTTACAGTGTGCCACTAGGCGGGCCTTATAGCGAGCCACTGATCCATCAGCATTTCGTTTGGTTTTGAATGTCTATCGACATCCAAGAATAGGTTGATTGGAGGGTGGAGGAACTAGGGACCAAGTGCTTTGCTATTGCAAGGCAAGGAATTCATAGGCCATAGCTGATCGCCAATGTTGGTATTTAGAAGCTTCGGCATATGTGGTTGGATTTGAGATAGTGGGGGTGTGAAAGTTAAGAATTTGATAAGGTTTTAGGGAGCCGGTTTGAGATTGGGTAGTCATTGGATGAGTTTCTGGTGGTGAAGCTGGATGAAGTTAGTTTGAAGCTGCTATGGATATTGATGTATTTGGGTTGGATATCTTTTCCGGTATTGGGATAGTTGTTGGTGAGTGAGGAAGAGATGGTGAGATTGCAGTTTTATGTGTGGAGGTAGGATTGGGTTCTGGTGCTGAGTTTGTAGTGGGGAGAGTAGAATAAGGAAAATGAGATTCATCAAAAGTGACATATCGTGAGATATGTATTTTGGTAGTAGTGAGATCAAGGCACTTGAACCCTTTGTAATTTTGAGCATATCCAATAAAAACACAAAGGGGAGATTTAGGGGATAGTTTATGACAGGCTAGAGGTGGTAGTAGTGGGTAGCAGGCGCATCCATATATTTTAAGATGTTCATATTATGGTGCTTTATGAAATAGAAGGTTGTATGAGGATTTATTGGAGGTGGTGGCTGATGGTAGTAGGTTGATAAGGTAGACTGTTGTTAGCAGAGTATCAAGCCACATATGATAGGGAAGATGAGCCGTGTGAAGTAGTGTTCTGGTGGTCTCGAGAATGTGATGATGCTTTCTTTCGACGAGACAATTTTGTTCTGGAGTATATGGACAGCTGATTTGATGCAAGATGACATGGGTTTGAAGGTAGTTTTTAAGAATTTTGTTTAGATATTCAATACCACCGTCACTTCTCAAGAATTTTATTTTAAGAGTTAGTTGTTTTGTATTTCAACATGAAATTTAACAAAGGTAGTAAATACATGAAATTTGACTAAGGTAGTAAATACATGGAAAGCGAGATGAATCGTCTATAAAGGAGATGTAATATTTAAAATCTTGCATTGATGGAAAAGAGGAAGGACCCCATACATATAAGTGTACAAGTTCTAAATGTTTGTAGCTGTGATTAGTAGATCTCGTGAAAGAGACTTTATGACCTTTTGAGGTCTTACATGAAGAGAAAATAGAAGAAGAAATAGGAATAACTAATTTGTTGTTGTATTTGGAAATAGTTGTCATAACTTGTTGATGAGGATGTACCAGGCGATGGTGCCAACGAAGGGTAGTTGGGACGATTGTTGAAAGCACGGTGACTGGTTGAGAAAGTGTAGAAGGAGATGAGACGTGGTAGATTCCATCACTGCAAGGTCCTGAGAGTATGATCGAGTTTGTTGTCTGGTCCTTTATTTGGATGGAAAGGTTATTATCTTTGGCTAGAGTAGAAACATAGAGGAGATTGTATGAAAGTTGATGTAAATGAAGTAGGGAGCTTATGTGTGGGGGGTGTGTAGAAGAATCAAACCCGAATGAGCAATATGAAGGGGACAGCCATCTCCATTTTTTACTGTGTTCGTTCCTTGATAGTCTAATGGTTGAAATATGTTGTGGAGGTTGTTTGTGAGATGTGATGAAGCACCGGAATCTAATATCCAGCCGGAATTGATTAATTTGTGGAGTTGTTGTAACAAGCGATGTGGGTTGTCAGGAGGGAGTGGGATACTATTGATTGAGACGGTGCCAGCACAGGTGAGCAAAGTGTCCACATTTTTCGCAAATTTGACAACTGACGCTTTGGTTGGTGGATGTTTGAGGTGGTCGTGATGAAGAAGAGGGTGACACTTTGCCTCTATCGGTAGTATAGAAGTAGCATCCTCGACCTCTTGCGCGACGACAATAGAAGTAAAGAGTTGTGTGTAGTTGAGGACAGACGACGTCTTTTGTGTAGTCGGATGAGAGATTTATCTCCTCACTCAGCAAGAGGGAATACTGATCTTCAAGACTTACTGGAGAGAGCTTCGTGCGTATTGTTGTCTTAAAGGATTGATATTGTGACGGGAGTCCATTTAGTGTGTAGAGAAGGATGTCTTCTGCGTCAATGCATGGTAGCGCCAGCGGCTGCTCTATTGTCGACTAATGTCTTGATAGAAGTAAGGTGTTGGATCATGGTGGATTGGCCCATAGATATGTTATGTAATTTGTTCTTGAGTTGAATAACTCTTGGACGATTTGTTGCTTGTAATTGACGTTCAAGTGTTGTCCAAATGTCTGTGCACTAGTCAAGTTTGAGGACGTATGGGAGGATGGGTGGGGAAAGGGTGGAGCAAAGTGTTGTAGCTAAAGTTTGATCAACGAGCATCAATTGAGTGAACAATCGGTTAGGCATGGAGGTTCCGTCTTGCTGAATGATGAGTCATGCAGGAACAGATGATGTATGGTCTAAGAATGACACATAGTTGTTTGCACGAAACAACTTGAGAATATAGGATTTTCATGATGGATAGTTGTCGCTAGAAAGTGCGACAGGAACAATGTTCCTGATATTAGAGATTAGAAATTTAAGGGAGGAAGGAATGGTGGGGCTATCCCGGACTTCCTCGCCTATTTGAGAAGAAGGGGACGATTCTATAGTCAGGTTTGGGCCGCAAGCCTGCGCGGCTCTGGTACCATGTGAAAATTCTTAAATTGAATATAGTAACATAGAAGAGAAATCTAAAATATGTATTAAAGCTTGTAGTAGATACAGACCCGATATCTCTTCATATTTCCAATTGAGTTAATACATGTATAAAT